ACCCTTTTTTTTTTTTCCCCCTGCAGACTAGAAAAAGGAAAAAAAGGTTTTTGTTTTTTTTTTGTCTAATGTCACTTTGCTGCAACAAGTATTCGTACCGATTCCTGCTAACAAATTTCATCCGAATTACCAAATTAATTGACTGACTTTGGGACCTGAATCCCGAAAAACGAAGTAACGGAAAATCCGAAAGGAAACTAAAGTAAACATTTTTTTCCGTGCACATGTCCAATGAAAATGTACCTCCCTAGCCCCTTACATTCCAAACGAAAATTCATTTTGGAGAACAATTAAAATATAAGCATTCATTTTTACTTTTCTTTATGCTTCTATAGTTATGCTATGTGATTAGGAATATGTAACAGATAAAATAGTTATCACAATTTGGCTGCGAAATTGGAAATAAGCTGTGAAGAGTATTTCCACTTTTGCAGTTAAATTTGAGAAAACCCCACTATAGGGTCTGTTTATAAACTATCCACAGGGCCCTCAATTCTGCAAATATCTGTGTATGTTTTTTTCTGTGTGGATATATATTGAGACAAACGTTCTTTGTTTCTTATTAAAGCAGTGTATTATGGCAATGAGGAGCATAGAAAATACATATTTCTTTCAGTTAATTGAAGGACGCAGCAGAGATCCTCAATCCTTTACCATGGGGTAATAGCGCCACCTTCTGGACTAGGCTGGACTAGGACGCTAGGCGGACAACAAAAGCACAGCCTTGGGGGCGGCTCCTGGTGGTGGCCAAACCCCCAGTCTGCTAGAGGCAGTTCAGTTTTTCACCTAGCGCTGAGGAGTAAAGCCCTAGCTCATTACTGCAAATCTTAGTTCCCTCTCTTTTTGCAGAGAATTATTTATTTCCTCCTTTCCCTTTTAATCTTCAAGACCTTCACTCAACAACTGAGCTGGGTGACAGGCTGGATAATCTAGATCCTTGTAGTCCCCTCAGCTCAGCCTGCAAGCTCATTCAGTGCTATGCAGGTGCGCCTGCAACAGCTCTGCTTGGACCAGAAAGCAGCCTGTGAGATGTCTCACACGGGATGCAGATGATTGGTTTGCTCCGTGCTGTTTTGTCACAGCATTCCCTAGGCAGACAACGCGCCAGCTGTGATGGGAGGCTCCCTGTCCCGGGGAAGGTACCCCATTCATCCTCAGGGTGCGCTAAGTGGAAACACCTCCTTTTTTCCCCCATGTGTGTCTTCGGGTGACTAGGTGTGGGTTCAGGGGTAGTTTTCTTCCCCCTGCTTTCTGTGTGGTAATGCCTTGTGCAGACCTGCCAGGTCCCTGGTGTCTCAGGGTGTGGATCATGTCATTGCATGGCATAGTGCCTTTGACTGCATCTGCTGGCACTTGGGGGAAGGCCTTCCCTCTCAGGCCCCTCAGCGCAGCCGTGTGCAACAGACTTTGTAAGTTCCTGATGGCCCCTTTTTCCTTCTCGGTGGCCACTTTTTCCTATGCTCCGCAAGATTATGATTGTGGACAGTCCGGTTTTCCTCATAGGTCTAGTTTGGCTAGGGCAATTGTGGTGCTCTGACCTACCAGACAGCTGGTGTATACTCTTTGGGCTCTTCCTGTCAATTCAGATCTCCATGGACCGATTTTACATCTTGTTTCATGGTCATTGGCGTTAACAATATGTATATTAAGCTCAGTTCCTGGATTCTGATTAACCAGTGATTTTTACATTGTGATTGTTAAGGAGTCTACTCTCTGCAGGTTCTACCATCAATCATGCACTGCATACTTGACCTGTTGCAAGGAAAGTAGCAGTCACCACCTGAAATACTCCATGGGAAGATTCCTCCTGACCTGTTTCAAGGTTTGTATCGACCTCTGCACTTGGTACCATTAGGGTTAATTCCTGTGCTTGCAATTTTCTTTCAACTGCTGGACTTCTTTTATTGTACTGAACTTGTGTATAGAGTATGACCTATGTAGTTCCTCCTGTAAGATCTTCTCTGCATTCACTGGATTTAGGTATGGTTCTCTCTGTGCTTCCATTTCTTTAAAAAAAAAAACCTATTGGGGATTTTCTCTTTTACATCTTTGTTCTCTGGTAGCATTCTTGGTTGCCATCTTTTTGCAAAAACTAAAGAGCATTTGTTTTGGCATAAATTTGCACAGAGTGAACGTTCACAGATCTTCATAGGGTGAAGTAGACCTCATGTGTTTGTGTTCCTGTACACATATCATACCTAAAAAAAAAAAAAAAAAAAAAAAATATAGTTTCTTAAAAAATATTTCTTACCTTTTTTAGATGTTTCTATGTAGTAGGCCACCACCGCTCTCCTGATCTGTGACAGGAGGCTGAGCGGTGCAGGGAGGAGAGACGCTGGCAGCTCACACCGCTCGGCCTCCTGTGACGGTTTCTATCCACCCCGCTGGGACACAGAGCAGCGCCCAGCGGGAAGGAGAGAAATCACGGATGCACAGCTATTTTGGCCAAAAAATTGCACTTTTGACATTTTGCCAAAATTGTCATTTTCGGATGATATGTTTCGGCAGCCGATATATCGGTGCATCCCTAGTTTTGTCCTTTAGTCATTCTTGGTGTTTTTAGCTGTGGGTTTTGGGTTATTATCCTGTTGGAGACCTACACTGTATTTTTGGGGATTAATTTTATTATTGAACAACTACAGTGCCCCCGGTCAATCCAATATGTTAATAAACCTCAAACCTTAATATTTAAGAAAGTAAAAGTAAGGTTTTGGCTGTCTTAGGAGAATATCTACGTGTGCACAATTATTGGGCAACTATTAAGGCTGTGACACACTGCACGCAAAGCAGCGCGGAGCGGTGGTGCGCTGCCTTCGCAAGCAGTGTGTCATGTAATTTTTCTCCTCGGCACGTCAGCTTACGAGAGCGCGCCGAGATGAAAAATGTCATCTTCAGCCAATCGGCTTGCGTGTATAAACCCGCGCGTCAGTATGCGACGTCTGGCTGGTTGTTACACACGAGCCGATTGGCTGAAGGTGCAGTAAATCATCTGACAGCACTCGGCTCGCAAAGCTCCATGCCGGACAGCTTTGCTTCGCTCTCTGCACGGCTTTGCGTCATGTGTCATGGGCTTTAGTGTACAGAATTATTATGCAACAAATGGAAAACCACTATTTCCCCAGTCATCTTCCAGGACAGCCAATGAGATAGGCTCCGCCTGCCTGCAACAGGAAACACATCAACCACATTAAATAAAAAGACTCCTCCTTCTATCCCAATTCAGTTTTTTTGTGTTTCCTCCAGCTACACAGGGACATCGTAATGTTTGTTATTTTCAGGGCTCACATGTATTGGCTTTAAGGCTGAGCCTAACACGGTTATGCGTTGGGACCTACTCCAGGTGTTGCCTGCTGCAGCACATACAGGGCTTCCCTATCGGACTCCCATCCGATTCTTGGCCAAGGTTCCCCTCCATCATTCAGGGAAGGCAACCAT